GTCTTTCCTAAATCTAAACTTATCCAATTTATATCCATTGTTTCGTGTTCTGTCCTGTGTTGATACTTTTAATACCCTATTAATATCCCCCCGGTTATGTCCATTCATCCACTTGTAAACCTCTATCATGTCACCCCTAACTCTTCGCCTTTCCAGTGAATGCAACTTAAGCTTTGTTAATCTTTCTTCATATGAAAGATTTCTAATTTGGGGAATTAACTTAGTCATCCTACGCTGGACACGTTCAAGTGAATTTATATCCATTCTATAATATGGCGACCAAAACTGAACTGCATAATCTAAATGGGGCCTAACTAGAGCAAGATATAGCTTGAGAACCACACCAGGTGTCTTGTTACTAACGCTGCGATTAATAAATCCAAGTGTCCGATTTGCCTTATTACGAACATTTATGCATTGATCCTTTTGTTTTAAATTCTTACTAATCATAACTCCCAGATCCCTTTCGCAATCCGACTTCGCAATCACAACACCATCTAGCTCGTATCTTGTAACTCTATCATCATTACCTAACCTCAGAACTTTACATTTATCAGCATTAAACTGCATCTGCCAATCCTTTGACCATTTCAAAACCCTATCTAGATCAACTTGAAGTGATAGTGAGTCCTCCTCCGAATTAATTTCCCTACCGATTTTCGTATCATCGGCAAATTTGCAAATGTTGCTACTCAAACCTGAATCTAAATCATTTATATATATTATAAACAACAGAGGTCCCAGGACAGAGCCTTGAGGCACTCCACTTACAACATTTTCCCACTCTGACTTGATTCCATTTATACTAACTCTCTGTTTCCTTTGGTATAGCCATGCCCTAATCCAGCTTAATATAGCACCCCCAATACCATGAGACTCTATTTTTTTAATCAGTCTTTCATGTGGCACTGTATCAAAAGCTTTGCTAAAGTCAAGGTATACAACATCGCAATCCTTACCACTATCAACTGCCTCAACAATGCTAGAATAAAAAGATAACAAATTTGTTAAACATGAACGGCCATTTATAAAACCATGTTGCGACTCAATTATTAATTAATTTATGTTTTTCAAGATGAAGACGAATTTTATTTGCTATTATAGATTCGAGTAACTTTCCCACAATAGACGTTAGGCTAATTGGTCGATAGTTAGACGCAAGTGATCTATCTCCTTTCTTAAAAACTGGTATCACATTAGCAACTTTCCAAAACTCTGGCACTCTGCCTGACTCTATTGATTTATTAAATATGGTTGACAGTGGGTCACAAAGCTCCTCTTTGCATTCTTTTAGCACCCTAGCAAACACTTCATCCGGCCCTGGGGATTTGTTTGGTTTGAGTTTTACTATTTGTTTAAGAACATCCTCCCTGGTAACTGCTAAACTCGTCAACCTGTCCTCGTCCCCACCCACATAGACTTGTTCGGCTGAAGGCATACAAGTGAATGAATGGTCATAACAGGGGGGATATTAATAGGGTATTAAAAATACCAACAGAACACGAAACAATGGGTATAAATTGGATAAGTTTAGATTTAGGAAAGAAAATAAATACTGATATACTGGTAAATAAATATAAATAAATACTGGTTCAGTAACAGGGTTGTTGATTTGTGGAACCAATTGCCGCGTAACGTGGTGGAGGTGGGGTCCCTCGATTGTTTCAAGCGCGGGTTGGACAAGTATATGGGTGGGATTGGGTGGTTATAGATAGGAGCTGCCTCGTATGGGCCAATAGGCCTTCTGCAGTTACCTTTGTTCTTATTGCCGCGTAACGTGTTGGAGGTGGGGTCCCTCGATTGTTTCAAGCGTGGGTTGGACATGTTTATGAATGGGTTTGGGTCGTTATAGAAAGGAGCGGCTTCGTATTTGACAATAAGCCTTCTGCAGTTACCTTGTTCTTATGTTCTTAAGTAGTTCCTTCACTACACCTTCCATTATTGCTATAATAATATTACAACATTCGGAGCTCCAGCTAACACCCTCTCATTACGAATGACGTGAGTATTTGTGATCAAGTGAGATAAAGAAATTTGAGGATTTGCCAAAACAATTTCCAGTTGATTATGCTGACCTGAAAAGCTATTATCAAGCAGTTGCAGGTAAATTTGAACAAGTTAAACACCAACAGCAACATATGTGGCTGAACTTGACTACATAAGTTTATCAGAAACAGAAATAGACACATTTATGGTTGATCTGGTGATTTACGAAGCTCAAACTCAGGCCACGCTACAGCCTTTCGTCATAATTATTGCTATGAACAAGGACTTGATTTCCTTCATTTAATTACGCACTTTCTCAGGAAAAGATGAGGAAGATTGGGACGAAGGTTGGAACATATTCGTGAACCTTGTGTACTCAAAACCATCTTTATCTAAGAGTAGTAAATTCTTTTATCTACCAGGTCAATTATCAGGTGAAGCTAAATTAGAAGTATCCCATCTGACCAATCATTTAACCATGTCATTACTAAATCTAAATTTGTCCAATTTATATCCATTGTTTCGTGTTCTGTCTTGTGTTGATACTTTAATACCCTATTAATTAATAATTAAAAACATAAATTAATAATTGAGTCGCAACATGGTTTTATAAATGGCCGTTCATGTTTAACAAATTTGTTATCTTTTTATTCTAGCATTGTTGAGGCAGTTGATAGTGGTAAGGATTGCGATGTTGTATACCTTGACTTTAGCAAAGCTTTTGATACAGTGCCACATGAAAGACTGATTAAAAAGATAGAGTCTCATGGTATTGGGGGTGCTATATTAAGCTGGATTAGGGCATGGCTATACCAAAGGAAACAGAGAGTTAGTATAAATGGAATCAAGTCAGAGTGGGAAAATGTTGTAAGTGGAGTGCCTCAAGGCTCTGTCCTGGGACCTCTGTTGTTTATAATATATATAAATGATTTAGATTCAGGTTTGAGTAGCAACATTTGCAAATTTGCCGATGATACGAAAATCGGTAGGGAAATTAATTCGGAGGAGGACTCACTATCACTTCAAGTTGATCTAGATAGGGTTTTGAAATGGTCAAAGGATTGGCAGATGCAGTTTAATGCTGATAAATGTAAAGTTCTGAGGTTAGGTAATGATGATAGAGTTACAAGATACGAGCTAGATGGTGTTGTGATTGCGAAGTCGGATTGCGAAAGGGATCTGGGAGTTATGATTAGTAAGAATTTAAAACAAAAGGATCAATGCATAAATGTTCGTAATAAGGCAAATCGGACACTTGGATTTATTAATCGCAGCGTTAGTAACAAGACACCTGGTGTGGTTCTCAAGCTATATCTTGCTCTAGTTAGGCCCCATTTAGATTATGCAGTTCAGTTTTGGTCGCCATATTATAGAATGGATATAAATTCACTTGAACGTGTCCAGCGTAGGATGACTAAGTTAATTCCCCAAATTAGAAATCTTTCATATGAAGAAAGATTAACAAAGCTTAAGTTGCATTCACTGGAAAGGCGAAGAGTTAGGGGTGACATGATAGAGGTTTACAAGTGGATGAATGGACATAACCGGGGGGATATTAATAGGGTATTAAAAGTATCAACACAGGACAGAACACGAAACAATGGGTATAAATTGGATAAGTTTAGATTTAGGAAAGACTTGGGTAAATACTGGTTCAGTAACAGGGTTGTTGATTTGTGGAACCAATTGCCGCGTAACATTGTGGAGGTGGGGTCCCTCGATTGTTTCAAGCACGGGTTGGACAAGTATATGAGTGGGATTGGGTGGTTATAGAATAGGAGCTGCCTCGTATGGGCCAATAGGCCTTCTGCAGTTACCTTTATTCTTATGTTCTTATGTTCTAATATCCCATCTGTTATGACCATTCATCGACTTATACATCTCTATCATGTCACCCGTAATTCTTCGAATTAATAGGGTATTAAAAGTATCAACACAAGACAGAACACAAAACAATTGGTATAAATAGGATACGTTGTTATTTAGAAAGATCTGGAGTAAATACTAGTTCTTTAACAGGGTTGTGGATTTGTGGAACCAATTACTGCGTAACATAATAGAAGAAGGATCCCGTGATTGTTTCAAGCGTAGGTTAGACATATATATGAATGAGTTTGGGGGGTATATAAATAGGAGCTGCCTCGAATGAGCCAATACACCTGCTGTTATCTGCATTTAGGTCTTATGTAATTTATATCCATTCTTTCTTCAATACATCTGTTGATGTATTTAATACCTTAAAAATACCCATTAATAATACTACCTTGCTATAGGCATTCATCCAACTGTACTCTTTAATAATATCACCCCAAACTCCTCATCGTTCTAGTGAACGTAAATTAAGCTTTTTCAACCTCACTTCACATGTAAGGTTTCTAACTGATGTGTGACTTTGTCATTCTATGCTCAATACTTTGAAATATATATATATATATATATGGGCATACTATTAAAGTTTTATATTATTTGAAGATAATAATTGAAACTACTATGAAAAGAGCATGCGGTAAACGAGACAACTTCCATATATATCTATTGGGTAAATAATATATAATTTATGAAATAAATGTCCAGGAAACATAATATATGTTGTGTCACACAAATCTTTAAAGCTTAGATAAGACTTGAATATGTTTTTGGGGTTCAAATTGGATTTATCTCTTAATGGTCAATAGACATTGTTATTGATTGATAGATGAAGATTAAGCCACTCAAGAGGTTGCACGAGCATGAATAGCCTGTAAACATTCTGCAGTTTTGCTTTAGTCTTACATTCTTTTTTGTTTATAGAACATAAAGTGAACCACATTTCCTTACAACTTGAAAACATTGGTCATCATTAAATGCACCTCATCCAGTTTGCCCAACATACCTGTGATTAAGCATAGTCAGGTACCACGTCACCTACAATCTTACGACTACCATAAATACGAGAACAAACTCACCTAGGATCACGTAGTTTTGAGCGAGAAATAAGAGAACAGTTGTAATTTCTTTTCTGATATATTTTTCAGCTTTTACCTCCGGAAGGATTTCTTCCCCACGTCAGAATTTGCCAACACTTCATTCTCTCTATTTAATATGAGTGATAAACTCCATGAGTGTCAAGAGTGTGGGAAAACATTTAGGCGTCTTGGAAATATGGAGAACCACAAATGGTGCATACTGGTCTTAAACCTCACGTGTGTCCCGAATGTGGTGAAAGTTTCAGCCAACCTGGAACTCTGAATAGACACAGGATGGCACATTCTGGTGTTAAAACTCACGAATGTTTTGAGTGCGGAAAAACGTTCACCCGAATGGAATATTTAAATAAACACAAGATGATGCACACGGGTGAAAAGCCTCTCAGCTGTGATGTGTGTGGGAAGAGTTTCAATGACCGTAGTAATATGATTAAGCACATGTTAGTACACTCTGGTGAGAAACCCCACGAGTGTCCAGAGTGTGGGAAAAGATTCTCTCGATATGACCATTTGAAGAACCACAGGTTGGTGCATACTGGAGATAAACCTTACGAGTGCCCAGAGTGTGGGAAAAAATTAAGTACGCTTGGAACTATGAAGAAACACAGGATGGTGCACACAGGTCAAAAACCTCTTAGGTGTGATGTGTGTGGAAAATGTTTCAGCAGTCGTAGCAGTCTAATTAATCACATGTTACTGCATACTGGAGAATATCCTTTCAGGTGTGATGTGTGTGGGAAAAGTTTCAGGGATCGTAGCAACATAGGTAAACACTTGTTAGTGCATTCAGGTGAGAAACCTTACGAGTGTCCAGAGTGTTGCAAAAGATTCTTTCGAAATGAGCATTTGAAGAACCACAGAATGGTGCATACTGGAGAAAACCCCACGAGTGTCCAGAGTGTGGGAAAAGATTCATTCAACTTGGAGCTATGAAAACACATAGGATTATGCATACAAGTTTGGTCAGTTTATGATAAGATTTATATAGTTCAATTGATGTAGATAACATTTTAGTGCACAATATGTTTACAATTATGTATTTTATATTTATATGTATTTTATATATTATTTTGGTAGTAATAAAAATATAATTTTATTCAAATATCATAGGTTCTTTTTCTTCCTACTCTAGGTGATATTGTTTCCATAAAAACATAATAATTAAGACCTATTTCTTGAACAAATCAACAAGGGCTGTGACGAGGATTTCAACCTACGTCCGAGAGCATCCCACACGCTGCCTTAATCGACTGAACTACGACATCGCTAATCTCCGAAAGTTCTTCACCGATTGCTTTGAAATTTTCACACAATGTTCCATTCGCATCCGAGCAGGTTTTATGTACATATTATATTGATGTCACGACTTTAAAACTTGTTTAAACAAAAAACTGTTTTTTCATGTGAGAGAAATCTTCGAAACCTCTTTATCGATTGTTTTGAAAATTTGACACAACGTTGCATTCGAATACGCGCATCTTTTTTATATCTACTATATACATGTTTCACCTGTGACAGGAAAAAAACATACTTTTGTTTTGAAAAACAGCGCCATCTTTTGGACGTAAGAGCAACACACGCTGTAATCTCAGAAAGTTCTTCACCAATTGCTTTGAAATTTGACACAAAGTTGCATTCAATAGGCCCGTCTTTTTATATACCTACTATCGATGTCACCCCTTGTAACAGGTAAAAACATGCTTTTTGAAAAAAACATCATTACCATACCAATGGTATGGTAAACACACCATACCATTAAAAATGTGTATGGTAACACATTGGTATGGTTTACCATACCAATGGTATGGTAAACCATACTGTGTTGTTTAAACACAGTATGGTTGCATTCAGTAAATCTGAATGAATCTGAATGTAAACAACACAGAAAGTAGCCATACATGTTAGGGAAATTTTGAAATGTAGTTTCAAAGAGGGAATCACAACTGAGCCACACACAGAAACTATTTAGTTAGAATTAAACGAAAAACTAGAAATCCTATAATAGGAGTTTTATAGAAGCCACCAAACTTAGATAGAATGGAAGCAAAACATCTATGGGATGAAATATCTAGAGCAGCTAGGTCAAATAGTATTTGGGTTAACTTTAATTTTAATGGAATAAACTGGATTATCAAAATATGGGATAATGAAGCAGGAAATTTTCTAGAATTAATTGAAGATTGCTTTCACATTTACATTGATTGCAACACATTAAGAAGCCAATGCGAGAAAATAATATTTTAGCCTTAGTGTTAACTAACAGGGAAACACAATTAATTGATTAATTGACAGGGAAATAGGGAGTGAACTAGAGAACAGTGATTGCAAAGAAATCAGATTTAGCAAAGAATGGAATAGATTTGTAGGAAAAATTTATGTTAAAGTACCAGATTTTCGAAAAACTTATTTTAAGGCCTAAGAAATTTCTTGTTTGAAATAGATTAGAAAGTCCTTGCATGGGTGGGGGGGGGGATAGGGGTGGCGGTTTTGTTGCGAGACGTGAACCCAACAATGGGTGATGTACAAAGGTATTTTGATGTTGACTCAAAATATAACATTTTTTGTTTATAACAAACTCAAAATATAACATTTTAAAATATTCTACACAAAACACAGGAACGTAGTATACAATAGAAATTGATAAATATAACCGAAAAGGTATGATTAAAAATTCCAACTGGGATTTTCTCAATAGTTTCTTTTCACTAAAAAAAAAAAAATACAATTGACGATTTACTATAAAGTATAAAACCAAAAACACGGTCAACCTACTCATGAAAAACTCTTCAGACACAAAGAAGAATGACTTAAAGGAAACCTACGTCGTCTATGCCACCAAATGCCCACTTGGGGACTGTAAGCTCCAAAGGCAAGACAACGTCTCTTTCTAGGCGATTAACAAGGCTCCATCAAGGAACATATAATCTCTTCTCAAAACCAGACCATCACCAGAGAAATCTTAACGAACAAACAAATCATCGATATATACAGCGATAACAGGAGGCTCGGCATCTACGAGGCACTACACATCAAAAATCGTAGAATCGCTGTTTACCAACGTACCTGGAGATGAGACAATTGACCTGGTAGATAAAAGAATTTACTACTCTTAGATAAAGATGGTTTTGAGTACACAAGGTTCACGAATATGTTCCAACCTTCGTCCCAATCTTCCTCATCTTTTCCTGAGAAAGTGCGTAAATTAAATGAAGGAAATCAAGTCCTTGTTCATAGCAATAATTATGACGAAAGGCTGTAGCGTGGCCTGAGTTTGAGCATCGTAAATCACCAGATCAACCATAAATGTGTCTATTTCTGTTTCTGATAAACTTATGTAGTCAAGTTCAGCCACATATGTTGCTGTTTGGTGTTTAACTTGTTCAAATTTACCTGCAACTGCTTGATAATAGCTTTTCAGGTCAGCATAATCAACTGGAAATTGTTTTGGCAAATCCTCAAATTTCTTTATCTCACTTGATCACAAATACTCACGTCATTCGTAATGAGAGGGTGTTAGCTGGAGCTCCGAATGTTGTAATATTATTATAGCAATAATGGAAGGTGTAGTGAAGGAACTACTTAAGAACATAAGAACAAGGTAACTGCAGAAGGCTTATTGTCAAATACGAAGCCGCTCCTTTCTATTACGACCCAAACCCATTCATAAACATGTCCAACCCACGCTTGAAACAATCGAGGGACCCCACCTCCAACACGTTACGCGGCAATAAGAACAAAGGTAACTGCAGAAGGCCTATTGGCCCATACGAGGCAGCTCCTATCTATAACCACCCAATCCCACCCATATACTTGTCCAACCCGCGCTTGAAACAATCGAGGGACCCCACCTCCACCACGTTACGCGGCAATTGGTTCCACAAATCAACAACCCTGTTACTGAACCAGTATTTATTTATATTTATTTACCAGTATATCAGTATTTATTTTCTTTCCTAAAGGGAAACGTTTAATGAGATCAAAGTCAGGTGGACAAAGACTAGAGAGCTGTCTTAGTTTGCGGTTAAAGGAATAATAATTTGTGTTTATCAAGATGAAGACGAATGGTATTTGCAATTATCGATTCAAGTAACTTTCCCACAATAGACGTCAGACTAATTGGCCGATAGTTTGACACAAATAATCCTTTCTAAAAAATTGGTACCACATTAGCAACCTTCTACTGCTCTGGCACTCTGTCTGACTCTAATGGTTTGTTAAATATGGTACATAATTGCTCCCAAGGCTCCTCTTTGCTTTCATTAAGCACCCTGGCAAGACACTTCGTCTTGCTTCAGTTTCACTATTATTAACATCCTCCCTGGTAACTGATAAATTAGTCAACCAATCTTCTTCCACTCACATAGCTGGAGTTTGGCTGGAGAAGTAATGCTAAGTAACTCTAGTAAATACAGAGATAAAATATTTATTTAAAATAATTCATCTCTTTGTTATTATCATTTATATGAACTGTCCCTGTTTTAATGGACCTATCATTTCCCTAATCTTTGTTCGATTTAACTGAAAAACTCTTTAGGATTTGTCATTGCTTGCCCTGCTATGCGAACTTCATAGTTTCTTTTTGCCATCCTTATCTCTTTTCTAACATTTCTAACCAGTTGGGCGATTTCTTGTTCTGATCTGACTTCCCCAATCCTAATCCTTTTTGTACCTAGCACTCTTTGTATCGATAAGGTTCTTCAGATCCTTTGTTATCCATTTCGGGTCATTATTATTCGATGTACTCAATTTCTATTATTAGTTTACTTTGGCAGCAGTCTTTCTTGTAAACATATGTTGTTAAATATGACCGAAAAGGTAAGATTAATAATTCTAACACGAATTTTCTCAATATTTCTTATGTTTCTTTTCACTGAATTGAAAAATCAATTCTCCAAAATTAATTTTTATTTTTAGTCTGACGCGACGCCTGAACGCGTTTCGTAATAACTTATTTCATTTTTAAAGTCTTTAGTTTACACACACACCTGTAACCGGTAAACCCGCAAAATACGTCCATATACTATGGACGTATTATATTTTTTTTATACCATATTTTTTGTTCTTTAGGTGAGATGACATGGTACAACAGTTTTGGGTGAGGTGAACAAAATTGTGACAAACACAAGACAAAACACGAAATTGGATATAAATTGGATATGAGAACACAACAATAGAAGTAACTGCAGTGGGCCTATTGATCCATACTTCCTCCTGATGCTTCTATATTGGTTCAGAGTACCAATTCTACCCAATATAGATATAGGAGATATATTCTACCCTCTTGAAGAGGGTAGAATAGTTGTGCATTAATTGGCTGTTGACTTTTTGATGTGTAGTGCCTCGCAGATGTCGAGCCTCCTGCTATCGCTGTATATATCGATGATTTCTGTGTTGTTTGTTAAGATTTCTCTGGTGATGGTCTGGTTTTGAGAAGAGATTGCCTTGTTGTTTATGCATTGTTAATCGCCTACAAAGAGACGCTGTTGTCTTGCCTTTGGAGCTTACAGTCCCCAAGTGGGCATTTGATGGCATTAGACGACGTAGGTTTCCTTTAAGTCATTCTTCTTTGCGTCTGAAGAGTTTTTCATGAGTAGGTTGACCGTGTTTTTGGTTTTATATTTTATAGTAAATCGTCAATTGTATTTTCTTATCTTTTTTCAATTACTATCGACAGTGAAAAGAAACATAAGAAATATTGAGAAAATTCGAGTTGGAATTTTTAATCATACCATTTCGGTTATATTTATCAATTTCTATTGTATACTACGTTCCTGTGTTTTGTGTAGAATATTTTAAAATGGTTTATTTTGAGTCAACATCAAAATACCTTTGTACATCACCCATTGTTGGGTTCACGTCTCGCAACAAAACCGCCACCCCCCCCACCCATGCAAGGACTTTCTAATCTATTTCAAACAAAACATTTCTTAGGCCTTAAAATCAGTTTTTCGAAAATCTGGTACTTTAACATAATTTTTTCCTACAAATCTATTCCATTCTTTGCTAAATCTGATTTCTTTGTAATCACTGTTCTCTAGTTCACTCCCTATTTCGATGTCAATTAATCAATTAATCAATTAATTGTGTTTCCCTGTTAGTTAACACTAAGGCTAAAATATTATTTTCTCGCATTGGCTTCTTAATGTGTTGCAATCAATGTAAATGTGAAAGCAATCTTCAATTAATTCTAGAAAATCTCCTGCTTCATTATCCCATATTTTGATAATCCAGTTTATTCCATTAAAATTAAAGTTAACCCAAATACTATTTGACCTAGCTGCTCTAGATATTTCATCCCATAGATGTTTTGCTTCCATTCTATCTATCTTCCATTCTATCATATATATCTAAGTTTGGTGGCCTGTATAAAACTCCTATTATAGGATTATTATAGGATTTCTAGTTTTTCGTTTAATTCTAACTAAATAGTTATCTTAGTGATAGACACCAATGTGTAGCCATCAATAATATAATCTCTCCCATTCTACCAATAACCGTTGGAGTGCCACAGGGCAGCATCTTGGGACCTCTTCTATTTCTTATATACATTAATGATCTGCCTAATGTCTCTAACATTCTGAAACCTATTTTGTTTGCTGATGATACTACCCTCATCTACTCCAACCCCAACCCACATACACTAAATGATGTTAATAATGAACTAAAAAAAGTCCACTTATGGATGTCAACCAACAAACTAACACTTAACATAGAAAAGACCTACTACATCCTATTTGGAAGCAAATCTACAAATGCAATTCAGCTTCAGATTGACAATGTAAACATTAGCAATAAAAATGATGGAAAGTTTCTTGGCATATTCCTAGACAAGAGACTCAACTTCAGTACCCACATACAACACATAACTAAGAAAGTCTCTAAAACAGTTGATATACTCTCCAAAATCAGATATTATGTTCCTAACTCGGATCTCATCTCTCTATATTATGCACTAATCTATCCCTATCTCAACTATGGTATCTGTGCATGGGGTTCAATCACTGCAAACCACCTCAAGTCCAGCAAAAATCTGCTATCAGAATAATATCAAATTCTGCTTTCAGACAACACACAGCCCCCTTGTTTAACTCCATAAACATGCTAAACATAATCTCACTCCACAAATTCTCTTGTGTCAACTACATTTACAAAACCCTGTTCTTAAATGCAAATCCTTGTCTGAAACTCTTCCTGGACAGATGTAATAGGACCCATTATCACCACACCAGAAATAAATATCTCTTTGATATCCCCAGAGTTAAACTTAATCTGTGTAAACACTCTATGCAAATAAAGAGACCCAGTTTATGGAACTCACTCCCTACTGAATTGAAAAGCTGTCCAACTTTTACATCATTCAAAATCAATACTAAAAAGTACCTAATTTCATCTTCATAGTTTTCCACTTTTTGCCTTAAAATTGCACTGTATCAATTGCTACCCAATCTCCCAACCTTTATGTTCCCAATTTGAACATCTTTACAATTGTGATCATTGCTGTTTTCTTATATGTGCTGCCAATCTGTTGTATGGTGTTTATAAATCTTGTTTATCTGTATCTTTTGCTACCCAGTCTCCCAATCTTTATGTACCCAATCTGAACATCTGTACCATTGTGATCATTGCTGTCTTATATGTGCTGTCAATCTGCTGTATGGTGTCTATTAATCTTGTTTAAATTACTAATCAAGCTGTCAATATAATCAATCAGAGCTTTAATATAACAATGTGCTTTAATATACTTACTTATCTCTCTCATCTCATTTTTCTCTTGTAATGTATCTTTATCATTTATCAATTCTGATTGAAATTACCTACTTAAAATTATCTGCTAGATTAAGGACCTGCCCAAAACGCTGCGTGTACTAGTGGCTTTACAAGAATCTAAATACTGTACTATCCAATGTATTCTCACAAACCCAATGTGCCTTCTTGTATATATATAAATAAATAAAATCTAACTAAATAGTTTCTGTGTGTGGCTCAGTTGTGATTCCCTCTTTGAAACTACATTTCAAAATTTCCCTAACATGTATGGCTACTTTCTGTGTTGTTTACATTCAGATTCATTCAGATTTACTGAATGCAACCATACTGTGTTTAAACAACACAGTATGGTTTACCATACCATTGGTATGGTAAACCATACCAATGTGTTTACCATACACATTTTTAATGGTATGGTGTGTTTACCATACCATTGGTATGGTAATGATGTTTTTTTCAAAAAAGCATGTTTTTACCTGTTACAAGGGGTGACATCGATAGTAGGTATATAAAAAGACGGGCCTATTTGAATGCAACTTTGTGTCAAAATTTCAAAGCAATTGGTGAAGAACTTTCTGAGATTACAGCGTGTGTTGCTCTTACGTCCAAAAGATGGCGCTGTTTTTCAAAACAAAAGTATGTTTTTTTCCTGTCACAGGTGAAACATGTATATAGTAGATATAAAAAAGATGCGCGTATTCGAATGCAACGTTGTGTCAAATTTTCAAAACAATCGATAAAGAGGTTTCGAAGATTTCTCTCACATGAAAAAACAGTTTTTTGTTTAAACAAGTTTTAAAGTCGTGACATCAATATAATATGTACATAAAACCTGCTCGGATGCGAATGGAACATTGTGTGAAAATTTCAAAGCAATCGGTGAAGAACTTTCGGAGATTAGCGATGTCGTAGTTCAGTCGATTAAGGCAGCGTGTGGGATGCTCTCGGACGTAGGTTGAAATCCTCGTCACAGCCCTTGTGGATTTGTTCAAGAAATAGGTCTTATTTTTTATGTTTTTATGGAAACAATATCACCTAGAGTAGGAAGAAAAAGAACCTATGATATTTGAATAAAATTATATTTTTATTACTACCAAAATAATATATAAAATACATATAAATATAAAATACATAATTGTAAACATATTGTGCTCTAAAATGTTATCTACATCAATTGAACTATATAAATCTTATCATAAACTGACCAAACTTGTATGCATAATCCTATGTGTTTTCATAGCTCCAAGTTGAATGAATCTTTTCCCACACTCTGGACACTCGTGGGGTTTTTCTCCAGTATGCACCATTCTGTGGTTCTTCAAATGCTCATTTCGAAAGAATCTTTTGCAACACTCTGGACACTCGTAAGGTTTCTCACCTGAATGCACTAACAAGTGTTTACCTATGTTGCTACGATCCCTGAAACTTTTCCCACACACATTACACCTGAAAGGATATTCTCCAGTATGCAGTAACATGTGATTAATTAGACTGCTACGACTGCTGAAACATTTTCCACACACATCACACTTAAGAGGTTTTTGACCTGTGTGCACCATCCTGTGTTTCTTCATAGTTCCAAGCGTACTGAATTTTTTCCCACACTCTGGGCACTCGTAAGGTTTATCTCCAGTATGCACCAACCTGTGGTTCTTCAAATGGTCATATCGAGAGAATCTTTTCCCACACTCTGGACACTCGTGGGGTTTCTCACCAGAGTGTACTAACATGTGCTTAATCATATTACTACGGTCATTGAAACTCTTCCCACACACATCACAGCTGAGAGGCTTTTCACCCGTGTGCATCATCTTGTGTTTATTTAAATATTCCATTCGGGTGAACGTTTTTCCGCACTCAAAACATTCGTGAGTTTTAACACCAGAATGTGCCATCCTGTGTCTATTCAGAGTTCCAGGTTGCCTGAAACTTTCACCACATTCGGGACACACGTGAGGTTTAAGACCAGTATGCACCATTTTGTGGTTCTCCATATTTCCAAGACGCCTAAATGTTTTCCCACACTCTTGACACTCATGGAGTTTATCACTCATATTAAATAGAGAGAATGAAGTGTTGGCAAATTCTGACGTGGGGAAGAAATCCTTCCGGAGGTAAAAGCTGAAAAATATATCAGAAAAGAAATTACAACTGTTCTCTTATTTCTCGCTCAAAACTACGTGATCCTAGGTGAGTTTGTTCTCGTATTTATGGTAGTCGTAAGATTGTAGGTGACGTGGTACCTGACTATGCTTAATCACAGGTATGTTGGGCAAACTGGATGAGGTGCATTTAATGATGACCAATGTTTTCAAATTGTAAGGAAATGCGGTTCACTTTACTTTATGTTCTATAAACTGAAAAGAATGTAAGACTAAAGCAAAACTGCAAAATGTTTACAGGCTATTCATGTTCGTGCCACCTCTTGAGTGGCTTAATCTTCATCTATCAATCAATAACAATGTCTATTGACCATTAAGAGATAGATCCAATTTGAACCCCCAAAACATATTCAATGTCTTATCTAAGCTTTAAAGATTTGTGTGACACAACATATATTATGTTTCCTGGACATTTATTTCATAAATTATATATTATTTACCCAATAGATATATATGGAAGTTGTCTCGTTTACCGCATGCTCTTTTCATAGTAGTTTCAATTATTATCTTCAAATAATATAAAACTTTAATAGTATGCCCATATATATATATATTTCAAAGTATTGAGCATAGAATGACAAAGTCACACATCAGTTAGAAACCTTACATGTGAAGTGAGGTTGAAAAAGCTTAATTTACGTTCACTAGAACGATGAGGAGTTTGGGGTGATATTATTAAAGAGTACAGTTGGATGAATGCCTATAGCAAGGTAGTATTATTAATGGGTATTTTTAAGGTATTAAATACATCAACAGATGTATTGATGAAAGAATGGATATAAATTACATAAGACCTAAATGCAGATAACAGCAGAAGGTGTATTGGCTCATTTGAGGCAGCTCCTATTTATATGCCCCCCAAACTCATTCATATATATGTCTAACCTACGCTTGAAACAATCAAGGGATTCTTCTTCTATTATGTTAAGCAGTAATTAGTTCCACAACCCTGTTAAAGAACTAGTATTTACTCCAGATCTTTCTAAATAACAACGTATCCTATTTATCCCAATTGTTTTGTGTTCTGTCTTGTGTTGATACTTTTAATACCCTATTAATTCGAAGAATTACGGGTGACATGATAGAGATGTATAAGTCGATGAATGGTCATAACAGATGGGATATTAATAGGGTATTAAAGTATCAACACAAGACAGAACACGAAACAATGGATATAAATTAGACAAATTTAGATTTAGTAATGACATGGTTAAATGATTGGTCAGATGGGATACTTCTAATTTAGCTTCACCTGATAATTGACCTGGTAGATAAAAGAATTTACTACTCTTAGATAAAGATGGTTTTGAGTACACAAGGTTCACGAATATGTTCCAACCTTCGTCCCAATCTTCCTCATCTTTTCCTGAGAAAGTGCGTAAATTAAATGAAGGAAATCAAGTCCTTGTTCATAGCAATAATTAAGACGAAAGGCTGTAGCGTGGCCTGAGTTTGATCTTCGTAAATCACCAGATCAACCATAAATGTGTCTATTTCTGTTTCTGATAAACTGATGTAGTCAAGTTCAGCCACATATGTTGCTGTTTGGTGTTTAACTTGTTCAAATTTACCTGCAACTGCTTGATAATAGCTTTTCAGGTCAGCATAATCAACTGGAAATTGTTTTGGCAAATCATCAAATTTCTTTATCTCACTTGATCACAAATACTCACGTCATTCGTAATGAGAGGGTGTTAGCTGGAGCTCCGATTGTTGTAATATTATTATAGCAATAATGGAAGGTGTAGTGAAGGAACTACTTAAGAACATAAGAACAAGGTAACTGCAGAAGGCTTATTGTCCAATACGAAGCCGCTCCTTTCTATAACGACCCAAACCCATTCATAAAAATGTCCAACCCACGCTTGAAACAATCGAGGGACCCCACCTCTAACACGTTATGCGGTAATAAGAACAAAGGTAACTGCAAAAGGCCAATTGGCCCATACGAGGCAGCTTCTATCTATAACCACCCAATCCCACCCATATACTTGTCCAACCCGCGCTTGAAACAATCGAGGGACCCCACCTCCACCACGTTACGCGGTAATTGGTTCCACAAATCAACAACCCTGTTACCTTCAGCCGAACAAGTCTATGTGGGTGGGGACGAGGACAGGTTGACGAGTTTAGCAGTTACCAGGGAGGATGTTCTTAAACAAATAGTAAAACTCAAACCAAACAAATCCCCAGGGCCGGATGAAGTGTTTGCTAGGGTGCTTAAAGAATGTAAAGAGGAGCTTTGTGACCCACTGTCAACCATATTTAATAAATCAATAGAGTCAGGCAGAGTGCCAGAGTTTTGGAAAGTTGCTAATGTGATACCAGTTTTTAAGAAAGGAGATAGATCACTTGCGTCTAACTATCGACCAATTAGCCTAACGTCTATTGTGGGAAAGTTACTGGAATCTATAATAGCAAATAAAATTCGTCTTCATCTTGAAAAACATAAATTAATAATTGAGTCGCAACATGGTTTTATAAATGGCCGTTCATGTTTAACAAATTTGTTATCTTTTATTCTAGCATTGTTGAGGCAGTTGATAGTGGTAAGGATTGCGATGTTGTATACCTTGACTTTAGCAAAGCTTTTGATACAGTGCCACATGAAAGACTGATTAAAAAAATAGAGTCTCATGGTATTGGGGGTGCTATATTAAGCTGGATTAGGGCATGGCTATACCAAAGGAAACAGAGAGTTAGTATAAATGGAATCAAGTCAGAGTGGGAAAATGTTGTAAGTGGAGTGCCTCAAGGCTCTGTCCTGGGACCTCTGTTGTTTATAATATATATAAATGATTTAGATTCAGGTTTGAGTAGCAACATTTGCAAATTTGCCGATGATACGAAAATCGGTAGGGAAATTAATTCGGAGGAGGACTCACTATCACTTCAAGTTGATCTAGATAGGGTTTTGAAATGGTCAAAGGATTGGCAGATGCAGTTTAATGCTGATAAATGTAAAGTTCTGAGGTTAGGTAATGATGATAGAGTTACAAGATACGAGCTAGATGGTGTTGTGATTGCGAAGTCGGATTGCGAAAGGGATCTGGGAGTTATGATTAGTAAGAATTTAAAACAAAAGGATCAATGCATAATGTTCGTAATAAGGCAAATCGGACACTTGGATTTATTAATCGCAGCGTTAGTAACAAGACACCTGGTGTGGTTCTCAAGCTATATCTTGCTCTAGTTAGGCCCCATTTAGATTATGCAGTTCAGTTTTGGTCGCCATATTATAGAATGGATATAATTCACTTGAACGTGTCCAGCGTAGGATGACTAAGTTAATTCCCCAAATTAGAAATCTTTCATATGAAGAAAGATTAACAAAGCTTAAGTTGCATTCACTGGAAAGGCGAAGAGTTAGGGGTGACATGATAGAGGTTTACAAGTGGATGAATGGACATAACCGGGGGGATATTAATAGGGTATTAAAAGTATCAACACAGGACAGAACACGAAACAATGGATATAAATTGGATAAGTTTAGATTTAGGAAAGACTTGGGTAAATACTGGTTCAGTAACAGGGTTGTTGATTTGTGGAACCAATTGCCGCGTAACATTGTGGAGGTGGGGTCCCTCGATTGTTTCAAGCACGGGTTGGACAAGTATATGAGTGGGATTGGGTGGTTATAGAATAGGAGCTGCCTCGTATGGGCCAATAGGCCTTCTGCAGTTACCTTTGTTCTTATGTTCTTATGTTCTTATGTTACTGAACCAGTATTTACCCAAGTCTTTCCTAAATCTAGTCTTATCCAATTTATACCCATTGTTTCGTGTTCTGTCTTGCGCGGGTTTGACATGTATATGAATGGGGTTGGGGTGGTTATAATATATTATTATAACCATTATATTATTGTTGGGGTGGTTATACGAGGAGCTGCCTCGTATGGGCCAATAGGCCTTCTGAAGTTACCTTTGTTCTTATTGGCACCCAAGAACACAAGAACAAAGGCAAATGCAGAAGGCCTATTGGCCCATACGAGGCAGCTCCTATTTATAACCACCCAATCCCACTCATATACATGTCCAACCCGCGCTTGAAACAATCGAGGGACCCCACCTCCACAATGTTACGCGGCAATTGGTTCCAAAAATCAACAACCCTGTTACTGAACCAGTATTTACCCAAGTCTTTCCCAAATCTAAACTTATCCAATTTGTACCCATTGTTTCGTGTTCTGTCTTGTGTTGATACTTTTAATACCCTATTAATTTCCCCTTTGCTATGTCCATTCACCCACTTGTAAACCTCTATCATGTCACCCCTAACTCTTCGCCTTTCCAGTGAATGCAATTTAATCTTTGTTAATCTTTCTTCATATGAAAGATTTCTAATTTGGGGAATTAACTTAGTCATCCTACCCTTAATCTGTTTCCCCTATCTCTGGCACAAAACATTCTGTCTAAATACCTCACCTGGGAATTTCCCACAACCAAAATTCGCTTCGATTCTCCCTTTTCTTTTCGAGCAGTTTGAGGGACCTGTGCTTCAATGCTCCTCGTTACTTTGTCTTTGCCTCCTCGTTGAACAAAACAACCATCCACTACTCTGGCATTCTGTCTGACTCTAATGATTTATTAAATATGGTAAACAATGGCTCGCAAAGCTCCTTTTTGCATTCTTTAAGCACTCTGTCAAACACTTCATCCGGCCCTGGGGATTTATTTGGGTTGAGTTTAACTATTTGTTTAATTACATTCTCCCTGGTAACTGCTAAACTAGTCAACCTGTCCTCGTCCCCACCCACATAGACTTGTTCGGCTGAAGGCATATTGTTAAGTTCCTCTTTAGTAAATACAGATACAAAATATTTATTAAAAATACTACTCATCTCTTCATCACTATCTGTTATTTGACCTGTCTCAGTTTTTAATGGACCTATCTTTTCCCTAATCTTTGTCCGGTATAACTGGAAAAACCCTTTAGGATTTGTCTTTGTTGTTGTGGGAGATTCCCAGGTGAGGTATTTAGACAGAACGTTTTGTGCCAGAGATAGGGGGAACAGATTAAGGGTTTGCTATCTGGGAGCTGGAATTGGTGATATTGTTGGAAACATGAATGATATTATGACGGGAAATGGAAACAAACCCATTATTTGTATTAGTGCAGGGGGTAATGATGTTGGACGAGTTGGACGAGTGAGGAACTAATACAGAGATTCTGGACAGCCATTGAATTAGTTAGGAGCAAGGGAAGAATCCCGATCATATGTGGCATTCTTCCAAGAAAGGGAGTGAGACATGAATGGATGTCGAGGGCACTTGGTATCAATTGCCGGCTGGAAAGATATTGCAAATCAAATGCAATATCTTTCATAGACAACTGAGAACACTTCTATGGAAGAAATGAAATGTATGCTCGTGATGGGGTGCATCTATCCAGGGATGGGGTTGTTGTTGTTGCGACCTCGTTGGAACTAGTGGTTAGAGGTGTTTGTTTGGGTTTAAACTGTTAGTAGATAGAGGTATGGGAATTGATTTGGAGGAAGAAGGTAATAAAAGTATGTGTTCGTGGGAGAAAGGAATTGACAAAATTATCAGGGAAAGAAATGGGCCTCAAAATAACAATTCACTTAGGGTATATTACACTAACAGTAGAAGTCTAAGAAATAAAATTAACGAATTAAATGCTCTTGTTTGCACAGAAAAAAAATAGATTTTATTGCACTCACCGAAACGTGGATGAATGTAGAAAATAGAGAACAATTAGCTGAATATCAAATAAATGAATTTAAACTATTTCACACAAATAGATATATTAGACGAGGAGGGGGAGTAGCCATATATGTTAGGGACAATTTGAAATGTAGTCTCAAAGAGGGAATCAAAACTGAGCCACACACAGAAACTATTTGGATAGAATTAAATAACGAAAAAGCAAATAATATTATAATAGGAGTTATATATAGGCTACCAAATTTAGACAGAATGGAAGCAAAGCATCTATTGGATTAAATATCTAGAGCATCTAGATCTAACAGTATTTACGTCATGGGTGACTTTAATTTTAGTGGAATAAACTGGTTGTACAAAACAGGGACTAGTGAAGCAGAAGATTTTCTAGAATTAATTGACGATTGCTTTCTTACGCAACACATTAAGGAACCAACGCGGGCATATAATATTTTAGATTTAGTGTTAACTAACAGGGAAACACAAATTAATGACATCGAAATAGGGAGTGAGCTAGGGAACAGTGATCACAAAGAAATCAGATTTAGCATAGAATGGAATAGACCTGTAGGAGAAAATTCTGTTAAAGTGCCAGATTTTCGAAAAGCTGATTTTAATAACCTAATTGATTGATAAAGATTAAGCCACCCAAGAGGTGGCACGGGCATGAATAGCCCGTAAGTGGTACAATTTTTTTTTTCCCAGTGTTCTGAGGTTGCATTTAACCATCAAGCTGTTATCGTAAGGGAGGATACTGCTTCACAGTCTTTATGAGGGTGTCCAGCTGCTGGACACCTTTGTTGACCAGGAGAGTGGCTGTGTTGATGGCTTCAGGGTGGCCACTGCATGATTCAGGAACTCTTAAAGCTCTTCTAAGGTCATTGGTTGCTTCACATTAATAACCTAAGAATTTTTTGGGGTCAAATAGATTGGAAAGTCTTGGGTATGGGGTGTGGGCCGGTCTTGGAGCGAGACATGAACCCAACGATAGGTGACG